AATCTTAAAAGAATGAGAGGACATGTCTAAAGAGCAAAGAAGAAACATTGAAGGGGTGATCACTGGCCAAATCTGGGACAATTTAAGTATCAAAATAAAAAATGATAGTAATAGAATATAAGCCATTGAATAAAATAGGAACCCATAAGTCCATACTAATAACAATAAATTAATAAATTGACAGTTTGATGAGGAACAGTTTACATAGTCTGAAAGTACCTTCTCATAAAATACCTATTATTTACAAAACAAAAAAAGTGTAACTTCTCTGGGAGAAACCTCCAGACACCACCTTAATCAAGGGACTAAAATGAACATCAGTAATGGGTCAGATGGAATTTCAAATTCATTAAGAAGTATGTTGGCCGGGCGCGGTGGCTCACATCTGTAATCCTAGCACTCTGGAAGGCCGAGGCAGATGGCAAGGTCAGGAGTTCGAGACCAGCCTGAGCAAGAGCAAGACCCCGTCTCTACTAAAAATAGAAAGAAATTATCTGGACAACTAAAAATATATATATAGAAAAAATTAGCTGGGCATGGTGGCACATGCCTGTAGTCCCAGCTACTCGGGAGGCTGAGGCAGAAGGATTGCTTGAGCCCAGGAGTCTGAGGTTGCTGTGAGCTAGGCTGAAGCCATGGCACTCTAGCCCGGGCAACAGAGTGAGACTCTGTCTCAAAAAAAAAAAGAAGTATGCAGCATTGCTTCTGTAATGTTTCTGCTAAAGATGCTTGACTTGGATCTAATCATGACAAGGTATCAAATTAAGGAACACTCTACAAAGTAACTGGTCTATAATCTTCAAAAGTGTCAAGGTCAGTAAAGTCAAGGAAAGACTGAGGAACAATCCCAGTTTGAAGGAGAGTAAAAGACATGACAGCTAAAGGCAACACACGATTCTGATCTGGATACTTTTGCTATAAAGAACATTTTTGGGACGTGAAATAAGACTCAATCAACTTGAATTGATGAAATTTTACAGAGTATATTCTCTGACCATAAAATAATTGCATTAGGAACTAGTAGCAATGTGATATCTACAAAAGCTCCAAATATGTTTTGAAAAATAAACATCACACTTCTAAATGACCCATAGTGGTAAGGATGGGGGAAGTCAAAGAGAAGCACAAGTGAAAATAGAAGATACTTAAAACCGAATGAAAATGAATATACAGCATATCAAAATTCATGGAATGCAGTACATAGAAATTAATACCTTTGAAGTTTTCTATTAGAAGAGGAGAAAGATTTAAACCATTGCAGCTTTCCACCTTAAGAATTTAGAAAAAGAAGAGTAAGTTAAGCCCTACTTAAAAGATACAGGAAAAAGAAATTTTAGGAATGGCCAATGGGCACATGAAAAGATGCTCAACATTATTAGTAATCAGGGAAATGTAAATCAAAATCATAGTGTATGTACTGCTGGCCTTCCCACAAAAAGTAAAATAAAATAAAATAAAATCATAATGTGATACCTTAAAACCCAGCAGAATGGCTAAAATTAAATGATGAACAACATCAAATGTTGACAAGAATATAGAACAAACAACAGTCATCCAGTGCTGTTGGGACTTTAAAATTATGTAACCACTTTGGGAAGCTCTGGTAGTTTCTTATGATGTTACACATACACTATCCTATGACCCCACAATTCCAATCATAAGGCTTTTATCCTAGAGAAATGTCAACATATGTCCACAAAAAGAGATATACAGGAATATTCCTAGCAGCTTTATTTATAATAAACCCAGATTGGAAACAACCCAAATGTTCATTAACCAGAGAAAGGAGGAAAAAATTACAGTATATTCATACCATGGAGTACAACTCAGTAATTAAAAAGAATGTGCTATGAATACATGCAATAAAATAGAAGAATCAAAAACATTGTGTTAAGCTAGAGAAGGCAAACATAAAAGAATATATATTGTATTTTTCCACTTACATGACATTCAAGAACAGGCAAGATTATTCTACGGTGGTAGAAATCAGAGCTGTGGTTCCCTGTTGGAATGGAGAGTGTCTGGAAGGGGCAAGGAAGGAATTTTCTGTGGTGATACAAGTGTTCTATGTCTTGATTATGGCATTGTTATACAGGTATATTCATTTGTCAAAACTCATCAAATTGTGCACTTAGATGTGTGCATTTCATTGTATGCTAATTTTATCTTACTAAAATAAGTAAGATATTTTCATATGTTCTTAGAATTCATATTCCAATGAGATAACCAACCATGAACAAAATAAGTGGTATCCCTAAAGTATGAACATCTTGCTTCTTAAATAAAAGAATAATGTAGATATTGATAAATCCACTTCAGTGGATAGGTAGAGGAGGATCTTGGAGCATGTATCATTTGGCTTGGGTCTTGAAGGATATGTAGGAGTTTGCCAGGAGAATGGTGGGAGGTTATTCCATGTAGAGTGAATGCATGTGTAAAGACACATGACATTAACTGCAGTGTGTGAGTTATAGATGGAAAGGAGGAGTTTGGGGAGAAATTGTGACAGGTGTTTTGCACTATGCTGAAGCCTTGAGCTTCTGTGTCACAAACCAATAGCAGTTTTTAAACAACAGAGTGATATGATCAGTGTGTTTTTTAGTAGCATATAGGATATCCTGGAATAGGGAGAAGTTCATGCCAGCATCCTGGGCCATTTTGAACAAAACTTCCCTGTCTATAGCTCTTGCCTGAGTGTGTATTTTTGTCGTCTATGCAGTGATAATCAAGATTGCCCACTGAATGACCCTGGTGATTTTTCTGGATTTCCTGCCAATGAGCTACCTGCAACTAGTGCTTCCTTATAGTGGTAGCAGGTGAACATGGCCTCACTTATAACATGACTTCCAAAAGCTGTCAGCATGGGAATGCAACTTTCCAAAACAGCTGGTACCCAAAACCAGACAGTTTGTCCCCTATTTAAAAGGATACTCTCATGCTTGCCTTTTAAAAAGGAAGAGTAACGTGGAGGTAGTGTTCCTCTTTCTGGAGCACAAAAATGGTGCTTCAATCTAGCCCAAATATACATTTCTGCAGGATGGCAAGAACTTTCTGGTGTTTTCCAGAAGCCCCTTTGCCCAATAGTACTTCCAAACTTTCCACAGCTGATTGGACCATGGGTGGTCACCTATGGTGACCCAAAAATACTCAATCCATAGTTTGTTCACTAGCTGACAATACATAGCCTGGTGTAAAAAGATGAGTTGCATCAGTGAGATTCTTCTTTTTGGGGGAGATGAATTAGGGAGTACCAAAAGGCTTGGCCGGTTAGCAACAGGAGCAGTTACTGGAAGAGCATCACAAAATGGAGCAATGGCAGTGGCAAGCCCAAGCTAGGTACAAGAGAAGCTAAGGAGGAACTGGAGAAAGGAGGGTAAGTCAATGTGCAGAGAGAAGCAGGACTCCACAGAAAGGAAAGAAAGTTGCCAGGCCCCAGACCTGTCTTAGTTGGGGGATGGACTTCCAAGTTAAGTTTTAGGTCTCATCAATTATTTTTATTATTCTTCCACTACCCCATACTCCATTTTTCTTTGAAGTTACATGAGTGGGTTTTTGTTCCTTGCTCATTGTAAGTCTTTGGAATGCTATGGTAGCTATTGTTTTGGGCTTCCTGGTAAGCTTTTCCCCACCCTCACCTTTTAGTAACAGACTCTGCCTCCTGGCCATGGGGAGGGAAGGCAGACATGTCCAGTAGGCTTTTGGAAATATAAGACTGAAGCTAAAGTGACAGATTGGACTGGAAAGAGAGATTTTACAGTCATCACCATATCGATAAAAACTGGTAAGGAAATAATATTTATAGAATACTTTCAACATATTATATGAGGCACTATGCTGGTACATTACATATACTGATACCAGTTAATTCTTACCATAGTACATCTAGGGACCATCATCTCTACTGACAGATGAGGAAACTAGGAATTGGAGAGTTTAAGTGGCTTGGCCAAATTCACCCAGCTGGTAGCTGTCAGAGTGATAGTGGTCAGTTTTCAAAGCCCATGCTCCTCAGACCACCCCAGGCTGCTCCCAGTTCAGAGGAGGGCACGAGGTCTATCTCCTAGAAAGATATTGATGGTGAGAGGACAGGGCTTGGAACTCTGGGGCACTCCAACGCTTGAGAAGAGGGGCTAGTGTCAGAAAGGAAAAAGTCGGAGGAGACCCCACTACCATGGTGCTGTGGAAGCCAGAGGCAGTGAGTGTTCTGAAAAACAAAAGGATGGCTAGCAATCAGATGGTTCAAAAACATCGAGCAAGATAAGGTGTGAGTTGAATTTGGTAATTAGAAGCTCAAGCGTGACTTGGTGAAAACTGATTCTGCTGGTGCTGAAAGCAGAAGCCAGGTTTTAATCGATACACAAGTGCATAGGAATTAAGGGAGTGCGAGTAGGCTATTGAGCAGGGACTGTCTACGGAAGGGAAAGAGGTGATGGTGGGAGTGAAGCTCAGAATTCAGAATTCAAAGGCAGCAATTTATGAGGAGGGACATACGTGCGCGCGGACAAGGCAAGATTTGCACATTGGACAGAGGAGGCACCTTTTTTCTCTGAAATAAGGACTAAGGAGTTAAGTAAGGAGTCATAATAGGTATGAGTGTGTGCATGTGTGCAGTATGAGAAATAGACGCAATTCATATGTTTAAGAAGAGACAGTGAAATCTGTAAAGGTCAAAATAACAAGACCAGCTGTAGCACCTATTGAATAAGTAATGATTAACTCTGAAGATTTAGAAATTCCCTTAAGTGCGTTAGGAGGTCATTTGTTGCCCCCATTTGACAGATGTCCAGCCTCAGGTTCAGTGAGTTGCTCTAAATCAAACTGCAGAGACCAACTCCAGAGCTCCACAGCTGTAACCCCACGCTGGCTTGCTGAGGTCAACGGTGAGTAACCCGACAGCGCCCGGGGGCCCGCGGCCGAGGACGGGCTGGAACTACACTTCCCAGTGTGCCAGGCGGGGCGGGGCGCGGCGGGGAGGGCGCAGGCTCCTTCCCAGAAGCAAAAGCGGAAACAAAAGAGTCTCGCCGGCGTCCCCGCCCGCACACTCGCGCACACTCGCGCTAGGGCGCACACGGAACAGGCACCGGCGCCCGGAGCGAGCCAGCCAGCGGCGAGCCGGGGACCCACCGGGCTGAGCCAGCCGAGCAGCCAGCGAGCGAGCCCGCGACGACCCCCGCCCCGACCCCCGCCTCCAGCTGGCCGGTGTCCCACCGCCCTCCCTGACCCATGGCGCTGAAGCGGATTCAGAAAGTGAGTGCCGGGGCCGGGCCTGGGGCGGCGGGGCGGGCATGGGCCCCCTGCCCACGCTGACCCGGCTGGTGGTCCCTAGAGACGTGCCAGGAGGGCACGGGATAGGAGGGTGGGCCGGGGCGGGGGCCAGAGGCTCTGGCCAGGCCAGCGGGCACCGGACAGGTGAGGTGGGGGCAGGGGCAGGTACCGGGTAGCCGGAGGGGCTCGAAGGCGAGGGGCCCGCTGCGCGCTCGCGCCGGAGCTGCCCCGGGAGCCTCGGGGTGGAGAGCCTCCCTGGCGCCCAGACCTTCCCGAAATCTGTGCCTCGCGGTCAGGGCTGGTTTTTGCCTTACACCGGGCTAGTTTTGACCCCTGTCATGCTATGTTTTCTCCACGCTGTTTCTTAAACCTGCCCTCTTTTATGTTCTTGTTTCCCCGGGCTCCCCGGGAGGGCAAGGAAGGTGCGGTGGGCCTGCAGCCTTTCTCATCGGAGCTGTCGGCTCGGTTCTTTCTCTCCTCTGCGGTTGGCGCTTGCTTAGCTGCCCGAATGGGCTGGAAAAGCCCATTTGCGGCCGAGAAGCCAGGAGAAGGCTCCTGCCCCTTCTATTTTGGTACCTCTGCTGCTGCCACTTCAGGTCACATAGCTGTAGTGAAAACATAGTTGCTGATACACAACAAGATGACCTCCTGGCTGTGATTCATAGTGAGTCAAGCCAAACAGGTTTTTTCCCCCCCTCATGATAAACTTATATGTAAAGTTTGAGACACAACAGAAACTGCCACAAATTAAATTGTTTTGATGCTTTGACACATGAGTATAAAATGAGGATGAAATGTATGTATTCATTCAACAAATATTTATCCATCCCAACTGTGTAAGTCTGTGTTGTCTTCTCTTCATATTATTTATTGCAACCATTTCAGATGTGAACATCGTACAAAATTGAGATTTCTTTCTGTTCACTCTTATTACTTGTTGGTTTGTTCACTGACCCAAGTTTTAGATTTTACAGTTATAGTCCATGTTGAGAACATCGAGAATGTTTGTTAAATAGGGAGTGCTTTGAGCAAGTTAAGCCAACAATGGACAGTGTGTTTTATGATTGATTTCAGAAGAAATCAATGCCTACCAAAAATTTTTATCAACTTTTTCCATGAGTCATTACAGCAGTAGTATATGTTAGCGCAGTGATAGAGATGTATACATTGTATTCTTACTCACCACTGGTGGCATCTTTAGGTACAGAGGACAGCAACTTTTAGACTCTGCCAATTTTTTTTTTTTTTTGTTCAAGTACTAAATGTGTGTCTCAACTACAAATACTAAATGTGTGGATCACTGTTATCTTTTGTGCTATTTAAGGGTCATCTCATTATAAAATGTACAGTTAACAACCAGCATTTATTAGGTAATAATGTTTTCTGGTTTGAAGATAATGCAATTGCATATTTTTTCATATAAATAATCCTAATTTTGAAGCCCCAGTCAGTGTCTGTACCATACCTCGCATCCTTATTAATGATGATGTAATATTGGTTCATATTTGGATCGGACAACACACATTTTCCAAGGAAGTTTTCAAATTTGATTTCCTTCTTTACTAGTTGTGAGAATTTTTCACATGACTTTGTACATATGCTGTGGAATTTATCCACAGTAAGTGGACATTCAAAGACATATGGACACCCTCTGTAAATACTGTGCTTGGCAATTCTTGTCAGTTACCATGCTGAGCCAGCGTATTTGACTTATATTTATAATTGTAATATGGCATATGTCCAAGTCTTTTTTTAGTAGTTAATTGGTTATTATAGAGTTCTCCAGGACAAAAATATTACTTACATAGAATTGATGTCAAACCTGTTACAAATTGATATTTTGGAGAAGTAATTGGGGATCACATAGCATCACATCCCCATGTGTCCGTCTGCGGATTCTCTTTTCTGTTATAGGCAAGTTGACTTAAAGTAATCTTCTTTCCATTAATCACATTCACACCATTCCCTCAGACGTTAGGGGTCATTCTTTTGACTGATTCCGGACTCTTCCTCCTCTGCCTACCTCCTTGATTAGAAGACACTTCCAGGTCAGAGATGCTGTCTGCCATATGAACAGTTACAAAACCTTCTTTGATATCATCAGTGTACAAATTCTTATTTGAATCTTGTATGTTCCAAAAAATGAAGATGTATACTAATTTTTGGCCTTTCTTCTTAAGCGTATTAAAGTAACATTGTCAGATATTTTTCAGGTCATTAGGTTGTATATAATTTTCTTGTACCTAAAGTGGCAGGCCTCAGAGCTGTGTGGAACCTCAAAGTCCACAGTAGTGTAGGGGAGGGTACCAGTAGGGGAACTGCTTCTAGGGCAATGCATCAGAATCACCTGTGGGATGTTTTCAGACTGTCCCGATTGCTATAAAGTAGAGAGATGTTGAATCCCTCAGATGGGCTGGGGTGGAAAGAAGATTGAAAACTGCTGATGCTCTGGTCTGTTCTCCTTATTCAAAGAAGAATCTGGAGGCCTTTACTGGAGGAGTGCTTTTGCCCAAGGATAATCTCTTAAGAGGTGATTTGGCATATTTTAGAATGTTAAAATGTTCAATTTCACATTTCTCCACTATGAAAAGAATAAAGATGGTTGAATTAAAAAGATATGTACATACAAAGCATGTGGATACCAATGCTTAAAATATATTTCTATACTAGAGTATACTAAATGATTTAGTGCTCTAATTTAGACATCCTGTGCCAGTTTTGCATTTCAGCTCATAAATTTACACACCCATGCCCTATTTTTAGATAGCAGTGAAACATGTTATCACAGTCACCTAAATCACTAAAGGAAAAATGTTTGAACAAAGTCTGAGGAAAGATACCCAAAACATGTCAGAAAAAAGAGGGTAGTTTTTAAGTGGACATCTGTTATTTTCTAGAATTAATTTCTAAGTGTTTCTTTTACCAATATTATTTTCAATGCTTGATATACTTTTTTGGGGGAATCATTTTTAGAATTACGAATGTTATATCACAGTACTGAATGTTTTGCAAACTGGAAGGAAAAAAGGAAATTGTAATACAGTCCTTATCATTAGTATATTTCCATCTAGTTTTTTTTATTTGATAATTTGAGGTAGCGATCATCACACTAGTATGATGTGGTATGATAGACTTGTTGCCTTTTTTTTGGTCTTTCTTTTGAAAAATGAAACAAAAGAGTTTTGTTTTACAAATATAGCAACACTGAGAACTATTCCTTAGCCTGTAGTTCTATCCCCAAAACAGAACATTTGGGTTTTTTCAATAATCAATTTAATCTAAAATGTATATCTCAACATAAATTAAAATACAATTTTATAAATGTTTTGGGCTGCTGAATTTGTTGATTTGTAGAATGTCACATTAAACTGTTTATGTCAGTCTAGAAAACCTTAGGGTACTTAAGAAACTCAGCCTTCTGTGGATGGAACATCAAATGAGCAAAGGCAGACTGGTTTTTATTCCTGGCCGCGTGGCTTACTGGCTTCAGTTTTCTTATCTACACAGTGATGCTGCTGCGAACAATAACCGGCATGTGTGTAATGATTATGCCATGCTCAACACTGTTCTGAGTCCTTGACATATATTAAATGATTTAATCCTTAGTAGGCCCAAGAGGTAGAAACAGTATCATCTCCATTTTACAGATGATGAAACTGAGGCACAGGATCGCATATGTAGTAAGTGGCAGTGCTAGGATTCCAAACCAGCTGGTTGGCTCCAGATTCCGTTCTCTTTACCACTTCAGTGTGTAGCTTCACCTATCCACGTGGACTCGTATCTTCTGTCTATTGTATTTCAACTGAAAGACATGTAGAATCAAAGGAGTTTGTGGCTGGAAGTACTTTGCAAACTGGAATGTTCTATACAAATGTAAAGTGGTATTATAATTAAGACTTTGGCATACTTAATCATTTTTACTAAAGCATTGCTCAGTGTGTTGATTATGCATTGTAAATCTCTGCTCCAGAGTAATGTATACTGGATCATTTAACATTGTAAATGAGTAGTATAACTTTGATCATCTTTGTTTCAAAGATGATCACTTTAGATTTTTCTTTTGGAAAAGGTTTTAGAAAAATTAGCTGTAGTTGATAAATATTCTGTCAAAAGTATCTTTTCATTGTGAAGTTTTCACTTTAGATAACTGTTTATGAATTGATATAGTTGTTCCTGCAGTGGGTTTGATTAGTAAACTATTCAGATTACAAGATTACATCCAGGACTGGTTCTTTCAAGAATGAAGGGTATAACTTTTAAAACAACAAAAAAAGGAGAGGCACACAGTATTTATGCTTTTTGATAGATAATAAATGGTTTTTCTTGAGACAAGCCATCGTGAATTTTTCTGCTTTCAAATCTTTGTAGTTAAGCTCAGTCTTTCTTTTGCCTCCAATATCGGGTATTTTTCTTTCTTTATCTCAACAAAGGTGTAAAAAGACAAGGTTACATATTATAGTTAAAAAGTTCTGAGGTACCTTTTCTGTGGAAATAAATAGCATAGAACTAAACAAGACCGTTTATGCCTCTTTTAGGAAGCCGGGCACATATGGAGACCTAACCTAGCAGGATGTGGGGTTGCCTCCCGTAAAGCAGAGTAGCATCCTTGCTCACTTTCTTTCCCTGAAATACACATAGGAAATGTACGGACCCTTTATTTTCATTTAATGAGTGCTACTAATCAAAATGATAAACCTTACGCTTAGCCATCAACCTGAGTTAATGGTTGTCTACTAATGTATTAGCTCTCCCTCTCCTTTTTTAATAGTGGATAAACCAGTATTACATTGAATTAAAAATGGGATACTTGTCCTCTCTCCTCTCATCCCTGTGAAATGCTGGAATAAATGATACCAGAATATATAACATGAACCAGATTCGTGGAGTATGGGGATTAGAAGAGTCCTTAAGCCACCTCAGAACATGTATTGAAGGCAAGACAGGTTCTATTTCTGGCCTGTTTTGGTCTAAATGACCTCTGA